GGGGGAGATTAGCACACATGAACCACAAAATTGGGACTGGACTTCCCTCATTGACTATGGCTCACTTTCTCCTACTCTCTCTGGCCTACCTGATCCGAACATATCCTCATCAAGTCCAGAAAGCTCTCGGCCAAGTCCACCTCCTCCTCGGCCAAACATGTCTCCTCCACCAAGTCCATCTTCAGCCAATTCAATTCCATATCCCAATCATCTCACTCTTCCTAATGATGCCATAAAAGTATTTATCCGAAGAAAGCACTTGCCTGAACAAGGTCAGCAACATCATGACCCAATCCCGAGTTCAAGAAATTCTGAGACAACACAAGGTAAAGTGGATCTTAGTATGCAAATTGACGGTGAATATACAGAGAAGCCCGCGGAACAACACTCAGACTTAGAGCTGCCCATTGCTCAGAGAAAAGGAGTCCGGTCATGCACTAAGCATCCCATCTGTAATCACCTGACCTATGCAAACCTGTCCCAAAAGTTCAGGGCATTTGTGACAGCTCTCGACAAAATTCAGATCCCAACAACAGTTCAAGAAGCCCTACAAGTCCCGGAATGGCGAGCGGCAACCTTGGAAGAGTACAGTGCACTTGAAAAGAATGGAACATGGAGTCTAACACCTTTACCGCCGGGAAAGCATACGGTTGGATGCAAATGGATTTTTTCAGTCAAACAAAAGGCAGACGGAAGAATAGACAGATTCAAGGCACGATTAGTGGCAAAAGGATTCACACAGTCATACGGAATTGACTATCAGGAGACATTTGCACCTGTAGCCAAATTCAATACGGTACGTGTTCTACTATCTATTGCCGTAAACCAAGATTGGCCACTGCTCCAATTAGATGTGAAAAACGCATTCCTGAATGGAGATCTAGTAGAAGAAGTGTATATGGATATCCCTCCCGGGTTCGAGGATGATCACACAAAGGGAAAGGTATGCAAGCTCAGAAAGTCACTGTATGGGCTTAAACAATCGCTCCGAGCATGGTTCGACAGATTCACAAAAGTACTAAAACTTGATGGCTACACTCAATCTCAGGCCGACCACACATTGTTCATCAAACACTATACCGGCAACAAGGTAATAATCCTAATCGTGTATGTCGATGACATAGTACTCACAGGGAATCATGAAGAAGAAATACGGAGACTCAAGGCCCTCCTTTCCAAAGAATTTGAAATCAAGGACTTGGGACTCCTAAGATATTTCCTGGGAATGGAGGTAGCAAGATCAAGCAAAGGGATTTCAGTCTCTCAACGCAAGTATGTGCTAGATCTACTACAAGAAACCGGCATGAGTGGATGCCGACCAGCTGAAACCCCCATGGATCCCAACACGAAATTAAAACCTCGGACTGAAGAAAAATCAGTGGATACAGGGCAGTATCAACGCTTGGTAGGAAGACTAATCTACCTCACTCACACACGCCCGGACATAAGCTTTGCCGTAAGCCGTGTTAGTCAATTCCTAAACAATCCATCCGAAGATCATATGGAGGCAGTAACTCGCATTCTCAGGTTCCTTAAAAGGGATCCAGGGAAGGGACTATTATTCCAGAAGACAGCCAATCGGCTCTTAGAAATCTACACAGATGCAGATTGGGCAGGGTTTCCAAGCGACCGAAAGTCCACTTCAGGGTATTGCTCCTACGTCTGGGGAAATTTGGTCACATGGCGCAGCAAGAAGCAGCCAGTGGTAGCCCGCAGCAGTGCCGAGGCAGAGTTTAGGGCTTTAGCCCAGGGCATTTGCGAGGGAATATGGCTAAAACGACTACTGGATGAACTCAAAATTGCCATCTCAGGACCAATCCAGATGATGTGTGATAACCAATCAGCCATAGCAATTGCCAAGAATCCCGTCCACCATGACAGGATGAAACACGTGGAGATTGACAGACACTTCATCAGTGAGAAAATAGAAGGCAATATCATATCACTGAGTCACGTTCCATCACAACATCAAGTTGCAGACATTCTTACAAAGTCCCTCTTCAGGCCCAACTTCACGGAACTGAGCTCTAAGCTAGGTCTAATGAGTATATACCGCCTAGTTTGAGGGGGAGTGTTGAAATTCAAACTAGCCGAGTATTAGATAAGTGATAGGCTCCTAGAATCGTGGGATAATAGCTAAGGATCTGTTGTAAGCTAATCCCTATAAATGTGTAAAGTAGTTCCTAATATCTAGGAGGTCTCTTAGGATAAGATCTTATCTTTTGCCTTTGTATAAATACCCTTCCGGTCCATTCAATTAATGAGAGGAAATTCAGATTATTCCAAACTTCAGTTTTCTTGCAGTAGTTGCAGAACAAACCATCTCTATTGTTTGTTGATTTGTCGAATGACCTGTTCTCTGTCCGGTTGGTGTTCTATTGTGAGTTTTGAGGGGCAGCAGCAACAACAGTTGGAACCGAGACAGCAGCAGTAGGAACGTTTTTTTTTTCCTTAATGCAATTTAGGAGTCATTATGAGAGAGTCTGAGCTATCTGATCATCAACTTGTCTATGTTGTACCAAAACTTAGTTTGTGTGTATTTTTGTTGAGTGATTTACGCTATTATATGTTGTCCTTTTTGTGTAAATTTTGCATGGAATGTATGAACTCTGTGGTTAATAAAGAATTATTTCTTTAGGATACACACAACCAAGCTGGCATTGCTTATAAGGGTGGTATTCTCCCTCTACTTAAGCTTCTTGATTCAAAAAATGGCTCCTTGCAACACAATGCCGCATTTGCTTTATATGGTCTTGCAGATAATGAGGTGAATTTTGTTATCCATTGCTTTAGAACGCATTAGCATTCCTGTTTTCCTCTGTTTATTATTTATTTCTGCTAAGTATTGGAAGTTGGAACTAACTTGATGTTGTTTCCAGGATAATGTTGCACATATAATCAAAGTCGGAGGTGTTCAGAAACTCCAAGAAGGAGAATTCATAGTTCAAGTATATATTCCTTTTAATACGTTTCTAGTTGCTTGCCATAGCTCTTTATTTGTTATCATCATTTGCAGTTTCCTGTTTTCCCTAGTTGACAATACCTTTGTCACTTTGTTTGATTTTACTTGTTTTTTCTTCAGCCAACTAAAGATTGTGTGTCAAAGACATTGAAAAGATTAGAGGAAAAGATTCATGGACGTGTATGTTTCTCACGCCTTTTTAAATTAAATTAAATTTTCAAAATGTAATTGTTGTGAGGATGGATTTGAACTTAGGTGCTTTCTCCTGACAGGTACTAAACCATCTATTATATCTTATGCGCGTTGGTGATAAAATGGTTCAAAGAAGAGTGGCTTTAGCTCTTGCTCATCTTTGTTCACCTGGTGACCAGAAGACTATTTTCATTGATAACAACGGTAGGATTTCTAAAGTGGTTTTTGTTGAAATTCAAACTAGCCGAGTATTAGATAAGTGATAGGCTCCTAGAATCGTGGGATAATAGCTAAGGATCTATTGTAAGCTAATCCCTATAAATGTGTAAAGTAGTTCCTAATATCTAGGAGGTCTCTTAGGATAAGATCTTATCTTTTGCCTTTGTATAAATACCCTTCCGGTCCATTCAATTAATGAGAGGAAATTCAGATTATTCCAAACTTCAGTTTTCTTGCAGTAGTTGCAGAACAAACCATCTCTATTGTTTGTTGATTTGTCGAATGACCTGTTCTCTGTCCGGTTGGTGTTCTATTGTGAGTTTTGAGGGGCAGCAGCAACAACAGTTGGAACCGAGACAGCAGCAGTAGGAACTGAGACAATTAAGGCCGAGCTCTCACTTGGTGGAGTTTCAAGCATGACACCTCTCCTCTTCCTTCATCACCTCGGACAGTAGAGAAGACTTCACTCAGGGTTGGCAGAGAATCCTTTCCAAGTATTTGCACACGAACTTGGTCATATTCAACATTCAAGCCAGCCAAGAACTCGTAAACCCTTTCTCCTTCAACAAATTTTAGCATCATTGCAGCATCTTCGCTGCACTTCATCTTAAAGTTTTGGTAGTAATCGAGTTCAATCCACAAAATTTTCATCTTGTTATATTAAGCAGTAACCGAGGGATTATCTTGCTTGGTTGAGTGAATTTTTGTCTTAATTTCATAGACTAAGGCTGCATCACACACCTTTGAATAGGTCTGCTTCACAGTATCCCAGATGTCTTTTGATGTGGGCAGGAACATAAGGTTGCCACTAATCTCGCGCTGCATCGAGTTCCAAAGCCATGTCATGATTGACAAGTCTTCTACATCCCAAGCCTCAAACTTTGGATCATCCTCCTTCGGTATAGGGCCTGTCAAGTGACTCAATTTGCCTTTTCCTTTAAGGAAGGTTCTAACTAGTTGGGACAACACTAGGTAATTTCGGCCGTTGAGTTTAAAGGAGGGTTGCAGGTTTTGGTATTCACCTGTTTGTGGCTGGGAAATTTGGGTTGAATCAGGGTTTAGGTCGACATTTGTGGTATTGTTATCGGTTTCAGAGATTTCTGACATTTTTCTGGGTGATTAAAGGCTAAAGAGAAATGACAGTGAACATTTTTTTCCTCTCAGCAGAAAATCATGTAAGGCTCTGATACCATGAACAAAAAACGTTACTGTATGTCTTATTCATTGAGGAAAAGCTTACAGCTATTTATAGAGTACAGAGTATTTTAGTATACAACCTAGGTAATTCTTAATTACAAAAGAATCAAGGAATTACTTTCTGAAATTGACAGCTAACCATCCCATCACTCACAGCTTGCATTGACTCAATTAATCAGGAAACTATCCCTAAGAATCCTACCATTGACTGGACAAGTCAGGGAATGATTTCCCTGAGAATCAGAGGACAAATCAGGGAATGATTTCCCTAATAATTTGAGTCAACGAATCTTGACAGATTCGTCAACATGAACTAAGTCAGATATTTTTATTTTTTAACTTTCTCATTTCTGTTTCTGTGTTATCTGTTAATTGTGAGTGCAAAGAGCTTCTGTTACAATAAAATTTGCCAATAATTTTGCTTCTGTAGGTATGTTCCATCTTTCATACCGCCTCCTTTGGCGTCCAAGGGGAAAGAACCTGAGAAGAAAGTCAGTACAACATACTAAACACTTTTTTTTTAATGGAGCTTTAAAGGTATTTTGAATTCTAAATTTTGTCATCGTACTTTGTAGAGGGAAGAGGATAAACCGAGGGAGAGAGAAAAAGGAAAGTCGAAAAACATAGATCTTTATATGGAGGAGTTGAAGCATGCACAAGAGATGAGGGACAGGCGAAGCCAAGATCATGAAAACTGGCGAGAACGCCATAATGATAATTCTGCAGTAAGTATTATCTGCAGAAGCTTGATTTCATTTTGTAAAATGCAACGTCTTAAGATGTTCTTTCCTCATTTGGGAACAATCTGTTAACTTTCTATTTCAGCACCTTCTACCTTGCAATGTAGGTTTCCTTCATTTGGTCTTTACGGAAGTTTCAATAGGACAATTTAGGTGAATACTTGGTTAAAACATAAAGGCATAATTAAACGTGCTTATCTTCTTTAGACTTAGAACGAATTTGCTTCACCGAGTATAAAGCTGATATGCCATACCATTTCCAACAAATACGTTATGTGTGTATTCTTTTTGTAGTTGCATTGAATTAGTTTTCATTGTCTAAGATTATGTTAATTGTGTTACTATGTTTCTGTTTTCCAGCTAAGTCGCTTTGACGAACTGCCTGATGAATTTGATCCAAGTGGCAAGCTTCCTGGATCATTTGATGATGGTGATCCGCAAACAACTAATCTATATGTTGGAAATCTCTCACCACAAGTTAGTTTTCCCTTTCAAACTGTATATTTTACTAATCATTACTTCGTTGATTTTGAAAAAGAAGGGAGCAAAATTAGTATCTTATTTTGATTAATGTTCTCGATAAATATAGGTCGATGAAAATTTCCTTTTGCGAACATTTGGACGATTTGGGCCTATTGCTAGTGTGAAGATAATGTGGCCTAGAACCGAAGAGGAGAGAAGGCGCCAAAGAAACTGTGGCTTCGTAGCTTTCATGAATAGAGCTGATGGACAAGCTGCAAAGGATGAAATGCAAGGTTTTCTTCTGTTTCATTCAGTATTATGCCTTAATCTTTAACCTTTTAATTATGCTTTTTTGCTCAATGAACTTCTTTCGCATTTCATTGCGCAACTTTTGAGTCTGAAGTCTGGATAGATATGAAAGCTGTAGAAAATAAATGACAACGTAGTTTTGGTCAAAGATGCTGTCATTCACTGTCTTAAAGTGTCGTCCTTTGACCTGAAACCGGGATTCATGAGCCTACCAGACTCATGTTAAATTAAATCAAACTACTGTCTCTCTGTGTGTGTGTAGTGGGCAATATGAAGGAATTAAGAGGAAAAAATTTCATTTGCAGGTGTGGTTGTTTATGAATATGAGTTGAAGATTGGATGGGGCAAGTCTGTTGCATTGCCTTCACAAGCGCTTCCTGCTCCCCCACCCGGACAAATGGCCATCAGGAGTAAGGAGGTCAGATATGCATGATTGTATTGTTTATTTCTTTATCTTGCTTTGTGCGACATGTTTCTCTCTTGAATTCGATGGCCTGGCAAATTTTGTGCTGAGGAGGTTTTGTTTGACTGTACTTTCTCTATTCTTTCCACCATTCTATAATATAAAGTTCACTGAGATTGATGTGTGAACTTATAGTAGGAATATTGCGTTTTCTTATTGCAGGGAGCCACTGTAATCCTGTCTGGTCCGTCAGGCCCACCTGTCACTTCTGTCCCCAGTCAAAATTCTGAACTGGTACTTTGGTTCTGTCAGATCGTTTTTTTTTTTTTATACTTATTTAAATATTCATATTTGATTGCTAATTTATGTTCTTCGTTATTAGGTTCTGACTCCAAATGTTCCTGATATAATGGTTGTTCCACCTGAGGATGATCACCTCCGGCATGTAATTGATACAATGGCGATATATGTTCTTGATGGAGGGTGTGCCTTTGAACAAGCTATCATGGAGAGAGGCAGAGGGAATCCACTTTTCAACTTCTTATTTGAGCTTGGCTCAAAGGAGCATACTTACTATGTTTGGAGGCTTTATTCATTTGCCCAGGTACATCTTATATAAGCAATACATGTATCAGTTGCCAGCAGTAATTTATTTTATCCTGTGTGTGTGTGTGTATATTGGTTTGCTGTTTAGCTTCTGATACATCACATATAAGTTATATGCATGCATTCTTTTTCTGAGACCGAGGATTGGTTTGATTTGGGCAGGGTGATACTCTACAAAGGTGGCGAACAGAACCTTTCATTATGATAACTGGTAGTGGAAGGTACTGCATAACTTGTTTCTCTTTTAATGCTAGTTAGTTCAGTTTTTGCTCTTTTCTCCCCTGAACAAGGGGGCTTTCGGAATTTTGTTACCAAAACCACTATGATAATGTTGATTTTTATTATATAATTTTTTTTTCTTTCCCAGATGGATTCCTCCGTCCTTGCCGACTGCAAAAAGCCCTGATCTTGAAAAGGAGTCTGGTGCAACATATGCTGCAGGAAGGAGCAGGGTATTTGTTGCTTTGCTTGTTGCAGGGTGGTTTTTCTTTTCCACATTTCTGATGGTTTAACACTCCTCTTTTCATTCAACTTTAGCGTGTAGAGCCAGAACGTACACTGACTGATTCACAGAGAGATGAATTTGAGGATATGTTACGTGCATTAACATTAGAAAGGAGTCAGATAAAGGAAGCGATGGGATTCGCATTGGATAATGCCGATGCAGCTGGAGAGGTAATGTTGATAAGTGAGAAGCTCTTGAAAACCAGGTTGTTTGGTTTGTATATATGTCTCATAGAGTTCGTTTTGAATTGCAGATAGTGGAAGTTCTGACGGAATCCTTGACACTTAAGGAGACTCCAATCCCAACTAAAGTTGCAAGATTGATGCTCGTCTCCGATGTACTTCATAACAGTAGTGCTCCTGTAAAGAATGCTTCTGCCTACCGTACCAAATTTGAAGGAACATTACCGGATATAATGGAGAGCTTTAATGATCTGTATCGTAGTATAACAGGAAGAATTACAGCTGAGGCCCTTAAGGTATGTAACCAACAACAATTATGGGTTTCATAAATCTATTTTAGTTTTTCTTTGGTAATAATTTAGTTGAGTTCTGCAGGAAAGAGTTCTGAAGGTATTGCAAGTGTGGGCGGACTGGTTTCTTTTCTCTGATGCATACGTAAATGGTTTACGAGCTACTTTCCTTCGATTGGGAAACTCGGGTGTGACCCCTTTCCACTCCATATGTGGTGATGCACCAGAGATTGAAAAAATAATCAGTTTTGAAGACACAGGTGATGCAGGTAAGACCAACGAAGATGCTGCTCTTGCGATGGGCAAAGGAGCAGCTATGCAGGAGCTAATGAATCTTCCCTTTGCTGAACTGGAACGACGTTGCAGACATAATGGATTGTCTCTTGTTGGCGGTCGAGAAATGATGGTTGCACGGCTGTTGAGTTTGGAAGAGGCAGAAAAGCAAAGGGGTTACGAGCTAGATGAAGACTTGAAGTATGCTCAAGGCCATTCAAGTTCAGGTAGATATTCTGGTGGCAGGAGGGAAACAAATGTTGAAGGTGAGCCTATGGGGTCGTCTGGATGGAATCATTATGCAGGGGATGAAATAGACTCCCAGGCAAAAGGTTCAGTTCCTTTAGCCCAAACAATTCCGATTCCGCAGCCGGAACTAAAACCATTTGTGAAAAAAGAGAAGAGCGACCCTGTTTTGCCAGCGTCCAAATGGGCTCGAGAGGATGATGATAGTGACGATGAACAAAAGAGAAGTAGCAGGGGCCTTGGATTAGGCTACTCATCTTCGGGAAGTGAGAATGCTGGTGATGGTCCTAGCAAGGCTGATGAGATGGAATCTGCAGCTGATTCAAGTGTTGTTCAACCTGACAGTGGAATGAGTGAGGAGCAGAGGTTATCTTCAACTTTACTACGCTTTCTAGTTTTATTAATGGGGAAAACTTAGATTGAACAAATTTTTTATTTTATTTTATTTTATTTTGAATTTAAATGTAATGGGGTATGTTCACCAACGTATTTGGCACTACATTGAAGGTACGTGTATGTTCTGCTTGGTGTTGTTCTTTATAGTGGCGCTTAACTTTATTATCATTTCTCCAGAAAAAAGTTGAGACGTCTGGAGGCTGCTTTAATTGAATATCGTGAATCTCTTGAGGAAAGGGGAATTAGAAGTCCTGAAGAAATTGAGAGGAAAGTAACGATGCATCGTAAACGGTTGGAAGCTGAGTATGGGCTCTCCAATTCCAACAAAGATGCTGCTGGGAGCAGTAAGTACTTGAGATGTTTGTGATGCGTCTGCTTTTAGAATTTATTGCAGCCTTTTTTTCTCCCTTCTCCATGGTCTCTTTTTGGCTTCCTTGCTGGTACCATTTGATTGGTCAGCAAGTGTTATGTTTTTCGATTGGTCAGCAAGTGTAATGTTTTTCGATTGGTCAGCAACTGTTATAAACTATAGTTTTTCACCTTATTGAAATCCCAGGATGTTATTTTGATTTTCAACAATTAGCTTTTTTGTTTAATTCCGTTTACTGGGCAACAATGAAGTGCCGAAAGATGTTTTTCTCGTGTTTTCATCTTTCATAATTTTCTTCTGCAGAGAGAGCATCATTGGAGAGGAGGGACAGACGAGATAACAGCCATGAAACGTCAAGAAAACGGCACCGCAGCAGGAGCAGAAGCGACAGCCCCACGCGGAGATCAACCAATAGAGATAGGGAGAGGGAACATGATCTGGACAGGGACCGGGAAAGACACAGGGAGAGGGACAGAGATAGAGGTCATGATTTTGAAAACGAAAGGGGGAAGCGCGAGAAGAGTGGAAGTCGAGAGAGGGATGACAATGAGAGGGACAGAGGCAGAGAAAGAGGAGATAGGGATAGAGATAGGAGGAGACGAATGAAATGATTCCATTCCGAGAGTGTTGCTTTCTCATGGAAAATGATTTGGGATTTCATGATTATTGCCATGAACTGCTTGTTGCAAATCGAACAAAGATGGGAGTAAAGATATTATCAAGTCAATTCTTTGGTTGCCAACAATAGACGAAGATATTCAAGTCAACAAATGGAATGAAGCAATTGCGGCCATGGAAGAGTCTTGTGATTATGGCGCTGTGAAGAGGGTTCCCTTCCCTCCCAAAATCCTATGAGAGGTGGTTGTTAACGACATTTACAACCAAAATATGACTTTTATTCGAGTTTAGAAGACCATCCTGTCATTGTGGTGGTCGATGAGTAGTTTGTATTTTGTTATCTTTTTTTTCCCCTTACGTTGAACTGTCGCTAGTGGCGACCGGTGTCTGGCGACTGGCAACTGCTGATGACAATGTATGTTTCGTCTTTATTTATTTAGCTTCTAGTGTTTTTCTAGTGGCTAGGGGATCAGGCGTCCCTAGTGTGTGAAAAGTCCAATCTTAAGTTCTTAACCCCTTCTCTTTTCAGATAAGCTTTTGCTTAGGATTTTGATTTTTTCTCTTAAAAATCTCCTTTAGGTGGTTTTGGTAAGTTAAGAATTTTGATGCTACATCTACGTAGGAGAATAGCAAGTTATATGAGACAATTTGATTCACATGAACTTTTTGCGTTCCACAAAATGCAAGTTAATTCTTTCAAGATTTGAAGCTTGTTCTATCTAAGCTATACACTTCTATATTTACTTTCAAATATTCGTATTAGATACGCATTTTTGTTGTACTTACTACGTACTTTTTATTCTGGTCCTTGCCGTGGTTGCTTCCTGTGTCAACTCGTCAGAGTTCAGAAGCATGCTCTTTTAGATTTTTTTTAGCAACCAAAAAAAAAAAAAAAGAAATCCTCACTTCATTAAAGCGGAATCCTGTAAATAAAAGCTGGCAAAACATTTTGCTAAGAAAGTGCTCGGGATTATTTCAGCAGATTAGAAAAAAAAATAAAAAAAATAAAATAACCCCACTGTAGTAGCAGGAAAATGGTGCCCACAGTTTATGAAAACTATGCAAATGTTAAAACAAACAATAAAGACATTTCAATGAGATAAATATTGCTACTGGTACTGGAAGTGAGACAGCATCTAAAAACCTGTCACACTTTGTCAAAGCACAGAGAGGTCACAACTACGGACGAAGCTTTCTGAGTAACCATTTCTTTCGCAGCGAAATATCGAGTGCCAAGAATGTCTTCGCTTTTCTCTCATCTTCCAACAGATCACAAGCATCCAAAAGAAGCTCATCATCCATATCTGGTATAGCCTGGAGTGCATCAATTGCAACTTCTATTGAATGATCACTCTTGTTCTCTTTCTTTGCCAATTCCGCGACCAGGTCCGCCATCTCAGATAGAGAGTTTAGCCTATTCTCGCTCTGAGTCTTCTGCACTTTTTCCGGAGGTCCCGAAACCAATGGAGATGCTGGTCGTTTCTTCTGTTTCTCAGTCATATTGACGTTGTCAGTTGACAATGTTAGATTTCCAGAAGCTCCATCAACCACTATTTCCAAGTCGGTTAATGTTTCTAGAATTCGACAATGACTAGCCATTTGCGGACCCTGATCGTCATACATCATTTCTGCATCATGACCGTTGATTCTTTCATCTAATAATCTGTTTTGAAAAATCTTGCACAAATCGCTAAAACTGCTTAGGCAAGTATTTCTGTACGAAACAGCATCTGGGCGTTCCTGCAAAATATCATAAAGGCACTAGTTATGAGTAATATTACTTTTGGCCACATTCAACTACTAAATTGACAAAGCTCGCTCTCCCCAAAAGGTAAGTATTTTTGTAATTTCACATAACTAATAAAGATCGCAGCAGACACATAATACATTATTTTGTGTACCTTAATGTAGGCTTCCCAAACATCATTATCAGCGATTACCATGTGCCGAGTTTCATCCCATGCGAACCCACTACAGCTAAGAATCTTGCTGATGCCATCATACTGGTTTTTGAACCATAAATACCGATCTTCTAGGAAAGTTTTATAACATTGCAGTCCTAATGTTTCACTAAATGATTTGAGCATGTTATCCCAGGCTTGCTCGTTGAATGCACTATCAATCTTATTACCCTTTTGCACCTGCTCTAACATAAGGTCAATCAAGCAACGGTCTAATTGTGGTGTCCATTCTAACCTTGAAGAAATAGCATTGGCAGCTGTCAGGTCGTTTGTCTCCTCACCTAGAATCAAGAAAAATAAGAAGTACATATAAACTGTTCGCGGATGTGTCTTTGGAAAATACACAATCTAATAACCACTTATAATTCAGATAAAAATGCCATAATTTATCCGTAATATAACTCTTTAGAGAAGAAAAGACGAACCCCACCGTTGGCATTAACGCTTAGGTTTAATTTTAAGAAAGAGAACATAAAAATGTTTATGTTATGTTCCGTATACGGGACAAAGTTGTTATCAGGCTCAAAAGTGACTAACAATCATACTATTGTGAAGTAAACACACACGCAGAAACATACTTGTCATTAAAACAGGTAATTCACCCACAGGGTCTACATCGCGTGCCAAGCGGCCGTATCTACCATCAGAATGTTCTTCACCAAATATAATACACAATTTGTGGAAGCCTGGTACAGTTTTAACTCTATAAGATCGAGCATCAGGACGGACCTGCATGAATTATATGTTCTTAGGCTCTCGGCAGAACAACTAGAGAATTCACCCTAGTCAACGAATGAGAATTTACCTTCGTGTAGGCATCCCAAACATGATCCTCGGCTATTATCATTTCTCGTGCTTCATCCCAAGAAAATCCACTGTGCTCGAGAAGAATCTTTATGTCGTTATACTGCCTCCTCAAATGTTTGTACCTATTCTTCAGGACATCTTTGTCATAGCAAGATTTAAATTGTGCACTGAAAGATGTAACCATGTCTATCCAAGCCTGACTTATGAATGTTTGCCCAAGTTTGTTTCCTCTATGCACTTGGTCTAGTAACAAATCTATAAGATATCGGTCCATTGGTGGTGTCCAATATGTTCTTGTACGATCACCAACACCTGAGGCTTGGTTCGCCCTTCCTTCACCTGAATTTGAGATCACAAGGATATCGAGCAAGAAGTTGAAATGAAGAAACTGCAGTTAGGAGACAGATAATTGAAAGTTACCTGCTTTTGGTTGTAATGCATCATCTTCACGGTTTTTCTCCTGGTGCGAACAATTCTTCAACCCATTAGCAACTTCATTTCCGAATATAAGGATCAAATCATAATAGTTTGGCAACGCTTTTGTTCTGTATGTACGTGCAAGCGGGTGTGTCTGCATCATTTTATTTATTTATTTATTTATTTTTATCAATCAGTCACTTGAGATAATATGATATGGTGGCTGTAAAACAAGTATGACATTTTTTTTTTTTTTGAGAAAGAGAACCTTCCCGTAAATGTACCTTGGTATAAGCATCCCAAACATGGTCATCGGCTGTAACCATTTGTTGCGTTTCATCCCAGGAAAAGCCATCTTGTTTCAGAAGAAACATCACGTCGCTATAGTACTTCCACAATTTTTTGTGTCGATGCCTCAAAACCCTTTTGCCATGTTGAGAACCAAATTTCGCATTAAATAATGTAAGCATATCTGTCCATGCTTGTTTATTGAATGTGTTGCCAGTTTTATTGCCTCTTCCTACTTGGTCCAACATAAGCTCAATGAAATACTGGTCCATTCCTGATGACCAATCAGTTCTCTGCCGATCATTACTTGAAGGAACAACACTGTAGATCCCATCACCTACAAAATTGAGGAATGTTAAAGTAGTTAGTTCAGTGTAATCGAATACGATTATGGAATTAAGTCAGGGAAAGAATACACACCTACATTTACTCCCTGCATTTCATCATCAAAGTCTATGTCATGACTTGATCGGCTGTATCTTCCATCAGCAGTTGTATAGCCATATATCAAACACAAATCATTGAAATTCAGAACTGCTTTTGTTTTATAGGATCGAGCATCCGGATGAACCTGCAACATATGTTTCGTTATTTCCCAGTCATGAATACTCTTTCTACAAAAGAACGAGTATAAAAGTCACACTTTACTTTTATGTAAGCATCCCAGACGTAATCATCAGCCACCACCATTTGGCGAGTTTCATCCCAAGAGAACCCATTATGACCAAGAAGATTCTTCACATCATTGAATTGCTTCCACAAATTCGTGTAACGACCTTTCAGAACATCCTTGTCGTACTGAGAACCGAATTTCGCATTGAACATGGCAAGCATGTCTGTCCAAGCCTGCTTGTTGAAAGTGTGGCCAATCCTGGCCCCTCTGTGCAGTTGCTCTAACATCAGATCAATAAAGTATCTTTCCATAGCCGGCGTCCAATATGTCCTTGAGCGATCACTGCCTGTAGTGGTTTGACCAACCATTCTATTGCCTCAAAGTTTTGTATTTTATCAAACCACTGACATACATAAAGACACAGGTTATTTTCTTCATGTGCAAAATGTTAACAATTCTTTTGGTTGAATCTTCACATTGAACCTTTAAGAAGAAAAACAGAGAGAGAAACGCTTAATACATGCTTTGAAACATTGATTCATGTGGATCCAATAGTTTTGTTGAATGGTGCTCCCCGCGCTTCACAGTTATTACTGCTGCTGTTGTTGTTGTTAAAAGATTTTGGAGGGAAAGTTACAATAGAAGTTTCCTTTGGGTTTCTTTCCGTGTAAAACTTGATACTAGCACCATTTACTAGCTAAACAACAGTAGACATTGATAAACAAGCAAAACATACTTGGAGAACAAACATCAAGTTAAGTTTGCTTTATTATTAGCGTCATTATAATTATTATTCGTTTATGCAGAGTGAAAAATGACCAAACCTGAGAAGAAAAAAAAAAAAACACTAAAACAAAAACCTTCAGCTGTTAAATGCCACGCAACATTGGAATGGGAAATTTTCGAACATATAATTCTCCCCAAATGGCAAAATTCATGAAAATACGAAGGAGAACAGTGGAAAGAGAGTGGTATTTACCGGTTCCGTTTGGAGGTGATTGGCGCCTAAGAAAATCTGATTGCCAAACCAGTTAACCCTAATCCGGAATAAGGACAATGCGCCTCCAGGTGTTTGGTGACAGAGCCAACCTCTTCTTTCTCTCTCTCGTGGGCTAAACCTTGGGCCGAGCCCAACTACTTTGTTGAGGGAAATGGAGGTGGGGAATCCAAAACCGAAAGGGAGAACGGGGAAAATAGCAAAAGAGTAGGGAAATAGTAGAAAATACGCCGATATGAAAAGCTAAAAAAAGTATATAGGTTAATTTTTAGTTATAAAAATTAATAGGTCATAATTTATCAAGTTATAGTTTATAATTAAATAAATTATGAATAAACTTATCAAGTTATGGTTCATAGCCAGACAAGTTATGGACAATTATGAACAATAACTTGTTAAGTTATGGTTCATAACCAGACAAGTTATGAATAAAAACAGTAATTTAGCCTATTTATTAACTTATGTAAACTATTGACCTATTCATTTTAATTCATCTCAAGTCTTGACCTATTTTTCTCTTTCTCTCATATATTTACACCCACGCCCTATTTTCATGACACGTGACGATTCTATTATAAGTATAGAAGTATTTTTGTTAAAATTTATAGTTCAAAAAAATTGATATTACGTTTTAAAGATTAAAAGTAAAAGTGTTATAAGGATAATAAGAAAATTTTTATAATTAATCCTAAGACATTAAATTTTTAACTGATAATTTTAATTTTATTATAATAGGTATGTGTATAAATTAAATGTGACTCCTTTAAATTAATAGTTTTTTACATTTTATTAGGCCAACCATTAAATTTTTTTAAAAAATAAAATATTTAATTTTATTAAATTTATAAATATTAGTATAATTTTAATTAAAAAAAAAATTGACCCCTATCAGTAAATGCGGACTCTGTCACTGTTTGCAAGTAATGATCAAGAATTTTAGAAAATAATAGTAGAGTGATGGTATCAAAAGTAATAAAGATAATCAGTTAGCAACTGCCTTAGATTTTCTTTTGCTTAAATATAGGAACAGAACAGAAGAATATTATTATGTACAGATGAACATAAACAATCGTCTCTGAGAAACAGAAGCAAATTAGAGATCAGAAGATAAAAGAAAGAAAAGAATAGTAATATGGCAGACAAAGAGGAAGCAGAAGTAAAAACTTCAGCAAATCCTAATAACAATATGAAAGATAGGAAGACATCATGGGCAAAGCTCCGCCGAGTTGACTCGCTCAATTTGGAGGCAGGACGAGTTTCCATGACGCAGAGCCACACTTGAGGCGGGCTTGGTTTCATTTAATTTATTGATTACGAGGTTGATAACATTGATCACGAAAGTAGACTTCTAGACGTACTGAAATATTGTGACATGATCAAATTAGTAGAACTTAAGTCTCCAATGTTTTTTTTTTTTTTTTTTTTAAGTGTGTGTGTGTGTGTGCGTGTGTGTGTGTGTATATATATATATATATATGAATGGTCCGATAGGCTAATATTATTTGATCAGTCAGGTAGTTGTTATGGGCCGTTGAATCAGAATTGAAGGGCCAGATTTTTGTAAGGGCATGCTAAGAAATAGCATACTTTCTAGATGAGCAGGGGCTATGAAAAAGTATTATTAAAAAATGTAAAGTGGGTTTAAAATTCATTTTCAAATAATTTTTTTTATATAAAAATAGAAATAAAAACGTTTTTAATTTCAGGTAAAAATTATTTTTAAAAATGTATTTAGTAATTTTATTCTGAAATTATTTTCAATAGAAGAAAAAACTGAAATTATGTTTGATTGCACATTTTTTAAAACATGTAATAATATTTTAAATAATATATTAAATAATTAATAATCAGTGTATTAGTTCACATTAATATATTATTAGTATACTAATAATCAGTATGTTAGTTCATAATTAATATATTACTAAATAATTAAAAACTTGAGATTGCATCTTTCTCCCTTTAAGGATTCGACCCAATGGTTTGATTGAGAGGGAGAGAAAACCCACGACTTGCAACAAAGAGAGAAAAAAAAATCAGTTGGATTTGCGAGCTTTGTTGGTTCCTGGGATCACGGAAGAGCAGTTGTGTGTGCGAGGTTGGGTGTCGAGTCGCTTGAGATTGCTGATTCCCGGAGGAGAAGTTGGGTTCGCGAGATTTGTTGGCGGCTGGGGTTCACGAGCTTCGTCGGCGACATCTCTTGGGTTCGCGATGGAGGTAGTGGCTGGAGAGAAATATTGGAAGAAAGACAACTGTAAACCCAAAGTGATAATCACCACAAAAAAAAATCTGAAATGAAAATGGAAAATGGAAATGAAAAGAGGAAAATGATCTTGTATCGTTTTCAAAAACCAGTGCAAAAAAGAGAAACGGAAAAGACCATTTTATGTCTTATTTTTAAGTAATTAATGCGCCAAACGTGTTTCCAAACTAATTTCATTTTCAGTACCTCAAAAAATAGGAAAAATGTTTTCAAAAACGGTATCAAACGCCCGTAGGGTCTAGTAATAAATGGAAATAAAAATTGATAGGAAAATAATAATAAATGATTAAAAATGATAAAGTAGAACGACAAATGGTATTTGCATCGTTCTCATCTACTACTCATGGGGCATTTATTTCCGGCAAGAAAACAATTGGATTTAGGCGAAAAGTCTGGCAAAAAAAAAAAATTTCGGATTCAGGTGAAAAGTCCAGCAAAAGAAAAAAAATTCAGTTATTTTTTGCTTTATTATATATTATGCTTATTGTTTGCGTCTCTTTAATATTAGTTGAAGTATTAGGGATGATAATAATTCTCACGTAATGAGGATATGAAACAATTATTGGGATAAAAATTGGAATGGTGACAAAATTTAGTCCTCAATTCATAGTTGGTGGGGACAGAAGAAGTACTCTGCAGTACGTTACCTCTGTTCTTATTTCGATATTAATGTATTATTTTTTTATATAAATATATATAGATACACATATCTCTTAAAATTATTTTTTACTTAAAAAAAGATAACTGCATTTTTTTAATTAGAAAAAGGGAACTAACGAGTTTCTTGTACCGAGAAAAAAAAAAGGCAGTTACTAATATTCTCCTATATTATATATACACATAATGATCACTAATCCACTTTTGAAAGGAATAAATAAGAAAGGATAATTTATATTTTTGTTTTGATGTTTTAAAACTTTTTTGGCTTGTGCATTGGTTATTACTTTTGGATTGGTTATTAATTTTTACTATTTTTTTATATAATTTTGAGGTGCTTAGTTTCTATATATGGGGAATGGAGCGGATATGGAAAAGGCTCCCCCAACCAGAAATTTCTGACTCCGACCCCGCTCCTTCTTATCCAGGGATGGGGACGGGGATGGAGATAATTTAGGGGGTGGGAGTGGGGATGGGGATGGGAAATAATCTTTTGCCCCAACCCATTGCTATCTTTATGAAGTCCACATTCTATGCACGTGGAAAGTACCGCATATGTTAAGTTCTATTAAGCACTGACACATACGAAAGAAACTGTGTTAATATGAGTAAAATAAGAAAAAAATGCATTATAAAATAACACAAGAGAAATAAATTAGACAAAATGGATATATCAAAAAATAAAAGTTGCAATTAAATAAAGCATAGAGGAAAAGGAATGCATGTCATAATAAAAATTTTCAAAATAAAATCTTAGAAATGAGACAAATTTAAAAGCATATAAAACTTAAATATAAAATCCCAAAAATGAATCAAAATGAAAAAATATAATATTTTAGAAAAAGAAGTAAAAATAAAAAATAAGAAAAAGATCGAAATGAAAAAATAAATAATTTTAAGGCGAAATGAACCAAAATAAAAAATAAAGTAGGAAACAAAAGAAAAAGAAAATAAAAATTTAGGACAAAAGGCAAAAGAGAAGGTAAAAAAAGGCTAAAATGAAAAAATAACTAAATTTTGGGGTAAAAAGAAAAAAAAAAGAGGGGCTGTTTTGACCAATATATATATATATATATATATATATATTGTATGTATTTAAATTCAAAGTGGCAGGTAACTACGACCAAGATTTGCTTCTTATTTTTTCTGTATAATGCGTATTAGTTCTATATAAATGTAGTTTCAATTCTTTTAGTTGTTTCTTTTTTGAAGGGATTTTTTTGATTGTTTTTTCTGTTCCTTTTTTTATACACTGAGAATTTGTAATAAATAGTAAATTTATGAAACTAAATAAAGTAAATAGTATATTTTAAAACTATTTAAAGTGAATAACAGTTTACATGGTTGTGTAAATAATTCATTTATGATTAGAAAAAAATATTAGGAGATTCTCTGGTACGCCTGGTGTACCAATAGACTAGATTTTTCTAGTCGTTAAATCTGTATACTTTATGACTTTTAAGTAATTTTATGTAGATCCAACATGTTTGTGGTAAAAAAAAAAATACATTGGATGATGATTCACAAATGGACCTTAAAAAAGCAAGGAGAAAATAATATTTTGTGTTGACCCAAATAAAAAAAAAAGAAGGAAGAAGAGAGGATTAAAAATACAAGTTTTAGAATGTGGAGTGATGATAAAAAAGATGCAGAACGTGAAGTGGTGAAAAAAAAAGTGCAGAAGGTGGAGTGATGACATAATGGTGTAGAACATGAAGTGATGATAAATAAAATGTAGAACGTGGAGTAATAGCTAAAACTGTT